AGGTAATATGTGTATAAACTGCGGAAATCCGTTTACCAAGCGACACCTGAACGTTTTTCCAGCAAAAAAAAATTTAGAAAAATTGTAACTACAGAGAATGTTTTGTGAAACTCTGGATATCGAAAAAAAAAACGACCAAGTGTAATTTTTGTTAACGGTAATGTTCATGCTGATAACTGTAATTACGCTCCATTGCGACCAATGATAGTAAATTCTTGTCTGCTTCTCTGCTTCTGCCCTTCTTAGTCCAATGTTTTTTTCTTTTTTTTTGCAATAATTCGCTTTTTTGGCGTCTTCATATAATTTCATCGCACTCTTTTTCCTTGTTTCCTGACTGACTTTTTCAGTACCCTCCTTGCTTCCTGTTGCCTGCTCCAAAATGGACGTCTGGTTTTTTTGGAATCCTTGAGCGGAAACCAAGAACCTTGGTATTTAGAGAACGGTCAGAATGACGATGGCGACTATGCAGAGCTAAGCATGAGAAAAAAATACGATCAAAGTACTAGAAACTAAAAATCTACTGAAGGAAGGTCGCGCATGGGAAATGACTGCACTTGTGACATACCTGTAGATTCAGGAAGCCCAATTAGCTTTATCCAGCAAAACGCGTTACCCAATGGAACATCAGATAAAAGAGTTGAACTTCGGGTTCACGGATGACACAACTAACGTTTTCGGGAAAAGCTTAGTCAGAACTGAATGCAACTGGTGGAATTGCAAAAAAACTCGCTTCCTCATCACGGGAGGACTCTAACGAAAACTTTTGGGCAACGGCAATTTCTTTCACTTGGGATAGAAGTAAAACTGCAGAAATGCCCAGTGTCGATTTGTTCACTCAGCCATACGCCGGGAGAGAGTAAGTCCACTAAGCTAACATATTTGTCAAACCAAATCTTTATGAATTTTACAGACTTATTTAATGGAATCAACAGGCTACCAAACGACAGAAAATTACCCATTTCACGCCCCTCTTAAACTGGTTCAAAATTAAAGCAGAAGCTTCTCATTAGTTTGATTATCGGGCGGGAAAGATGATTTGAAAATGAAAAACGAGGATCACATCGAAAAATTCGAAAAAAAGCGACTAAGATTGTTTCATAAGTCAGATTGTAATTTTCAGAAAGAAAGACAGCTCAATTAGAATAGCACTGTAAACAAAACATTTAGTGAAAGGCCAAGTTTTTAAAAACAAATAACAGATGCCGAACATACTTTAATGATAGATAACGTTGCACTGCATCAGAAAAGACCGATGAGCAGGTCTGGTTCAGTTATCTTGACTTAAAAAATGCTTACAGGGAACGCACTAATTTCATGCTTGATTTCATGGTCTTGGCGTTTTGCCCAAGTAATTTCAAATGAAAATCATACAAAAATTGTCATTTAGACCATATATATTTAGCCTCGAAGAAACACTAGAGGAAAACAGATCAATTGTGTATCGAATACTCACTATCCTCGACAAAAACAATATGGCGACGAAATGGAGAAATGTGTAAGTTTCCAGAAAGAGTTAGAATGCTTGCCCTTCCAGATTCGCCAAAGCCTGAGTCATCTGGCCGGTACAGCAGACGCAAACAAAACCTACCAGTTCCGAAAAAAATTCCGAACTCCGTTCATTCTTCGGCTCGATGAACCAATACGTCAAATTGGTCCTTAATTTTTTCTTCTGAGTTCAGCATTACGATCTAAACCAAAAAATCAGTGTACCTTCGGGATGATAGTCGTTCTATTGATATTGAAAAGTTAAACGCAGAAATTGTAAATAATGCTGAAAATAGCCACTTTGACATTAGAAAAGACTAATTTACATGTAGACGCCTCATATAACGGATCAGATGCTACATTTAAACAGCTTTAAGGCGGAGAGTGGAAAACGATCGCATTTGCTTCAAGCCTTTTGATGGGTTTTGTAATGATTTAGTGGACCAATGAATTGGAACTGTTAGGCGTAGTATGGACCTCAGGGCCTTTTATAAATTACCTTTATGGCTCGGAACTTGAAATGGTTACAGAGCACAAGGCTATATTGTCAGCTGTTTTAGCGAAACACAGTAGTATAGCGATGCATTATAGACTAACTCGTTGGGTAAACAGATTTTTACCGTTCAATTTGGAAAATTCACACCTACCAGGGAAAGATATGGGTTTAAGTGATCTTTTATCTAGACTTCTTTCAGGCAAAACTTCACCCTCATCCTTTTATGACGAAACACTTGTCATAAAATCAACAAACAAAATCGAGAATAGTTTTATTGAAGACACTCAATTCTAATCATGTAAACATCATCTCTGTCGCTCCACCGTCGGAAAATACAATTTTCCCGTCGGAAACTAAAATTTCGAGCAATTTGATTCGTCAAATTGTTACTAAGAGCTTTTTTTGGCATCATACTGCTGCTATTGATTTTTGTATGGCTCAGTCACTCAAATCTTGCAATAATTCTCAAGTAAGAACAAAAATTGTTCATCAATTTTCTTACCTCTAGAAAACTTAAAATTTAATTGTAAAAGCTTCTCATTTACTAACAAGGCCTTACTTTTTTCTGTCATGTTAAATGAAAATTTTTACCCGCTGAAATTTAAGCAGAGAAAACCCAATTTTCTGAACTTGTAGTTTTTCCCGAAGAACTTAACATAACCCTTAATTTTAAAGACGATTCTTCTCAAAGTTAGCACGCGTCTCTCTTTAAACGTTATAACACGGATTGGGTATTACCCAAATCTCCGTTAATCTCAGAAAATCTCTGCTCAAAGAAATTGCTTCAGATAAGGACCAAGGACGATAAAATTTTACGGAATCTGATTACGACAACGGCCGACCGATGGGCATGCCTGGCTTGTTCACGAAAAATTATGAAAAAGATATTTATACAAGGGATGAGTTCGTATTTTTTGACAAAAAACTGCTAGCACCAGCGCCAGTTTGCGGAGCCTTCAATTCAATTCGTTTTGTTGAAAGCATGACCGAAAAAGAAACCTATGATGTGACGACTATAATTTCAAACAAGAGTGCTAACGCAATCATCTCTACACCAAAAGCATTTATGTGATGGTCACCCTCAGATTTTTAGCATTAGCAGATTGGCCTGCTAGGAACAACTAAGACTTGATTTGACTTTATTTATCTCTGAATGATATGTAGTTTTCTTATCAATTTTTTTGGTAAAATGTAACTTTAGAACAGACATTTTAATTGAACACATTTCTTATTTCCCTTATTCTTTCAAATTAGCTGTACATATATTGTACATACCTAGTTAGAGTTTTAGAAAATTTGATTACCGTGTACTCATTAACACAAAACTGTGCTATGCAAAATTAACACAGCTAGGACTCATAATGATGAAGCGGATTTGTTTTCGACAAAACTTGAGTATGGGGGACGTATTTTATTGGCTATCTTATGCAATTTTCAGTTAAACGTCCATTTGTAAATTAACAGACGGTTTTTGTTTTTGGATCGACCATTAAATATAAAGTTCCATGAGCTGAGGGTAAATGTGTTAGAAAAAATCCATGAGCGTAAGTGTCAGTTATGGAGCAATATTTTTTCGATTTTTAGTATCTTTTTCCTTCCTTCTATTTTCTTTTCTAGTAGCTCCAATAAGTTTTTTCACTCGAATTTCAGCGATAATAGTCTTAATTGGCATATTCTTCTACTGAACTACAATTTTCATTTGAGTTACTTTTCCTAGCTCGGTTAGAGATTAGAGGCAATGGTCAGAAAGCTACATACAACCAATTTCAGTGAGAACATATTTTTTTCGTATCATTTTGCTCGTTTGCCAGTAAAAAAGACATTTTCTATCGTCGACTTAAGAATCCAATGCTAAAAGAAGACAAGCAAAATCTGATACTCCTAACCAATGCATGAGATTAATCGGGATCAAATCATCAGTTCCATCAAATCATCAACAAATGTGGAAAGAAGAGAAGTCAAACAAAAAATGTCAAAAATTGGGATATTAAAACTCAGTTGATCTATTTCTATCTTTTCATTGAGATGCACTAACATGCAGTCTATTTATGAGTCTGAGAACTGCCTGCATTTGTATTAAGCTGTCATCCCGGGTCGAGGTCCACGACTTAATTCCATCTTTCGCGGAACATTTTTGGCTCGTTCAGACGTTTGTGACCAAATTTTGTCATGATCAGACTTTCGCCACCGAGACGGAGGTCGTGCGACCTGATTTTTGCGACCATATTTGGTATGTCCAAACTTTCGCAACCAAGCTTTGCCATTTCCAGACTTTCGCGATCGAAAAGATCAGCCGTGAGTTTCGCGACCAAGGTGGAGTGCTTTCCAAGCTTCCGCTACCAAAAAGAAAAATCGCAATTTTCGTGAGCCAGCTAGATGCGGCTCCACCGGCGCAACGCAGGAAACGCCTCGAGGGGCGCGACCCGACATGTAGCGGCGAGTTTGGCTTGATCAAATTCTGCCATTTTTGCGACCAAGAGCTCTGTCGCCACTATTGTGAGCGAGGTGGAGACGGTGCAACCGGCGCGTTTCGAAACGCGGCAGCAAGACCGAAGCGACCAAACTCAGCCAGTTTTAGATGTTTGTCATTTCCAGAGCAATGCTGAGATAATTAAGCAAAAATATATAACAAAAATATTTAAGTAATGTTTAAATTCAAAGCGTTTGGTTAGTAGTTTCAAGTGACATTTTATGAGGTGAGGAAAAAGGAAAAATAGCCCCTTAAGTTTTGCCCAAAAAATAACGCGTTTTTTGGCGCGTGCTCCAACTCAAAACTTTTATATATTGGTGCCAAAGGTGCCTGTAGAAGTTTTAGAGTCGGTTGGCCGAAAACCGATGTTGCAAAATAGTATCAAAGGCGGGAGGTGATCGAATCCCTGAGGTGGAAAGCGCCCCAAGGTGGTAAATCTACCCTGCCCCAAAATGAGTTTCTTAAAAATTCTTTGTAAAATATTGGCTGACGATGTTGGCATTGACCAAACAGATACTAGCAAAACATCTTTTAGATTTCTGGTACAATTAATAAACTTATTTGCTTCTATAAACTTTATACGGTTCATTTCTAGAGCTGTCATGGAATTGAACTCTATTACAGTAATTTACATTCTTTTATTCGTAGGTAAGTCTACCATTTTAAACGCTGAACTGATAAAACTGGCATAAAAAAGCTTGAAAAGTGGAGAAAAGAAAACAGTCTGTTAGGCAGCTTATATCAAGCGCGGGTCTGAAATAAACACGTATTGCCAACCCAAACGCAGCTATGTGGCTTTGGTTTTTCATCAAACATTCTAAAAGAAAGCGAAACTATTTTTGCGGTAGAAAAACCCAAACAACTTGATAGTTTTTATGAACACAAAAAGATTTCACAGAAAGTCACAGAGATTTTTTCCTTTAATATCTCACGCAAGTTAATTGATTAAAGAAGCTGTATTAATTACAGTGTGCTGGTGTCCTCCATGTGCGAGGGGAAGTTTTTTGTCCACGACGCCCTCAGCCGACTGGGAGTCTATCGTGTTTTGGATCTCCAATGAAGTCTGGAAGTTCGGCCTTGCATGTCGTCAGCACAGGTTTCTACACAAATCAAAACCTTTTTCGAACTTCATTTTTTGTATGAAGATATTTGCCGACGACTTGTTTGGTCTCGACGACGATTTTGACTTAAGTTGGTAAATCGCCTTTTCAGCTTAAGGAAGTCACCATTTTCCAGTTTTTGAAAATGTCGTCAGCAGTGTTAAAAGCTGTTAAAAAGTTGAGACCATACAATTGAGTTTTGTTTGTGCACTTCTTTCCCTTTTTTGCACACTTTTGGAAGGTTGTGACCACCAAAAATTCAATTTTGTCTCTTTTTTCTTAGGTCAATTCTCCTCGTAATTACAAATCTCTTCATAAGTTAAATTGCGAGACAGAAGTTACAACATTTGATTTTCAGGCAATGAAGTGGACGAAAATTTTGTCACGTTTCTGCCGTTTTCTGTACAACTACCAAAAGTTTACGGTTGAAAGTCTTACTTGTGATAAATGAAACTGTTAACTAAAATTTGTGTATAAAGTTGTTTTAAGGCGTGGCTTGGCTTTTTACGTAGAAGGCGTCAGAGTGGTGTTTTTAAAACCATAAGAACTCTGTGAAACAACAGAAGCAGTTTCAATTTTGGACTTAAAAGTATTCGATTGGAACACTAAAGCTTCAAGCTAAGCCCTTATATGATAAACAGGAACTAAAAATTTTGTAAGGCTCTTATACAGAAGTTGACTGAAAATTTAGTAAAATCAGTAAACGCAGAAAAACAGAGTTTCTTTTTTTTGTGGCTCAGTAGCTTCTTTTCTTCCTTTTTAATTAATAAGGAATTTATATGAGGGCCTAGCTTATTTTCGTAGCTTTCCAACGAAGGCCTTTAAGTCCACAGTCTCAAACTACTTCTGCTATTTACGGGCGATTTTTTATTTTGAAAACACTTCTCCGACAGCCTCTATTCAAATGGCTAAACTACGTCTTATAGTTTAATTCAACTGTGTATCGCAAGTAGTTGTAGAGAAAACAACAGAAACGCTAAAATGATTTTAAAAAATAATTGCTTGAAAACTAAAAGTGACAATTGCATGTCCCGTGACTGCAATATCGATTCGCATCAACGGTTCCTTTAAAAATGTTCTTTTTTTCCAAGTTTTGTTTGTCTAACACAGTTTTTTACACAGTCTAACACATTTTTTTTCGGTCAAGTCGATCGAAACCTAGCCAGTTCGTGTCAATTGGATCAAAAGATAGCCAGTTTTGGTTGAGTAGGTCAAAACAGCTAATTTAGTTCGAATCTGTCGAAAAAACTCAAACAATTCAATCAGGGTAGAGTGTCAAAATACAGATGGGTTATTTACTCATAGATTTTTTTCCAAAAGATCAATTCTGTTAATTTGTCTATTTTCATGCAAATTTTCTCTCAGTTAGTAGTTTTTTTGCCATCAGCCAGTATTACTGTCTGGACGGTTACCACACCCTGAAGAGCACTACTGAGAGCAACTGTGTCGCGGACGCCCTCTTAGAACGAGACGAGGCTGCCTACCTAGCATGGTTTAACATCCTTGTACGGGACCAGTGGCACAGAATCAACATGATCGACTTAAAAAACCCTAGTTAGATGTTCAAGTTTTTCAGTACTGTTGTGATTCAGTATTTTTAGTATGCTATAATCTTGACCTCTATTTTCTTATTACGTACCAGTCAATGTTAAGTCTACGAAGTCCAGTGGACTTCGGTTCACTAGTTGCTCTTTTTAGACTACAGTCAGTTTTAATTCAACCAATACTTTTATTCTCTTTTAACTTTAGTTAGATACAATAGTTACCAGTGGTACATCTCAACTCTTTATTATGGCGCAGTCAACAACTGATTCGAACCTGAGGGGAATACCCGCCTTTTGGCCGAACCACACGGTAGAACCTCCCACCCAATGGAACAATTGGATAGACCAATTCCATTTGGCTATTATCGCGAAGGAAAATCTAGACTTAGATAACCTCAAAGAACCAATGGAAGGGGAGACGACGTTACCGATCCTAGAAGGTGCCCAGGAGTCAGAAACTGACCAACAGAGGAAAGCCAGGGAGGCCAGGAACAAAGAAACAATGCGAGTCTACGAACACGCTGAAGAGAAAAGACTAGCAGAAGAAAAACGGAAATTCGGAGGAATGAGGAGATATGAGGCCGATAAAAAAGTAAGGTCAATCCTATACTTGGCCTTAGGAGCGGAAGGCAAAAGAGTTTTCGCCCAGAAACATCCAAGGGTAAAAGTCCTAGGAATCTCATTCAAGGAATTTTACGAAATGCTAGAATTGGCTTTTATCAAACCAACCAACATAACATTTGAACGATACAAACTATTGAGCAGGAAACAAAAGGATAGAGAATCCTATGAACAATTTTGGGGCGCGTTATCAGATTTAGCAAGATCATGTGAAATTGGAATTAATGCAGAACAGGAGTGGATCAGAGACGTATTTATTTTTAACATGAAAAACTGCGACTTACAACGTAGACTACTTTCGGAAACTCTCAATCCATTGGATGCACTAAACCAAGCAATAATTGACGAAAAAGGCTACTATAACCACCTCAAACTAACCAATATGACTAGATCTTTCAACACGACAGGAAATAGTGGGAGAGGGTATAAAAACTTCAACAACGTAAGAAGGAACCAAGCTTGAACATAGAAAGATCAAATACTTGTATGAAATGCGGGAATGCGTTTACCAAGGGTCATTTGAATGTATGTCCGGCGAAAGAAATTGTGTGTAATATTTGTAAATATAAAGGACATTTCGGAAGACTTTGTAAATCGAAAGGAAGAAAACCCGCTGTAAATATTGTAGATGAAGCTGTAAATAGTCAGAATTGTTCATATTCCCCAGAAGACCTTCAGGTGAGAAGCGAAGAAAATTTTTGCGGAGTGATTAACGCTTGGACCGAAGAGGGGATAAGTGATAACGATGATTATTCCGTTCTCAACATTAGAAAAATCTACGATACCATTGGTTTGGAAACCAAGAAACTTGTCAACATCGGTTTGGGAGACGATGCAATAGTCAACTTTAACATTCCAGTGGATTCGGCAAGCCCAGTGAGCTTCCTGAAACAAAATGTACTTCACGAATTGAAGCTGAGAAATCCACAGTTGAAGATTCAGCCAGTAGAGAAGAAAACGAGGGAACTATATTGCGGATTCACTAACGACACAATCAACATCATCGGGAAAGTGGTAGTGAGATTACAATCCAATGGATGGATCGCGGACGAAACCCCATTTTTCATCACTTCTGGACATGAGAGGAACATACTGCGTAACGACAATCTCCCGAGAATTGGAATAGAGATAGCCCAACGACAGCCTCTACTACCCGTCAACAACATATCACGCCCAGAGTTGTGTAAGTTAAATAACTATTCAGACACGACCCTTAATCTGTATCATAGGTACAAAGGGCTATTTAACAGAGTGGGAAAAATACCATTGGACAGAAAAGTTACTCATTTCCATTCCCCATTCAAACATATCCAAACCAAAGGTAGAAGAGTTCCCCTACATCTACTCAATAACGTAAAAACGGAACTAAATAGAATGGAAAAAGAGGGGCATATCATAAAGTTAAACAAATGCGATGAAGATTGTTTTATAAGTCCAATTGTGATTACAAGAAAAAAAGACGGTAGCATCAAGTTGGCATTAGATTCGAAACTATTAAATAATCAGATATTCAAGAACAAGTTCCAGATGCCAAACATACATGAACTGATCGATAATATTGCACTCCAACTGTCAAGCAAAGAGTCAGGGGAAGTTTGGTTTAGTAGTCTAGATCGAAAGAACGCGTACAGCCAACTACAATTATGCACAGACACTAGCAAACAGTGTAATTTTAGTATCGTGGGGGGCGAAACCGCTGGAACCTATAGGTTTTTAACTGGATTTTACGGATTGGGCGATATGCCAAGCGAATTCCAGAGGGTGATGGATTCCTTATTGAAAGACATTCCTTTTACCAATTGTTATATCGACGACATTTTAATAGCTTCGAAAGGTTCATTAAATGAACACAAAGCGATACTAACAAACATTTTAAACATTTTGGACAACAAGAATATGTCGGTAAAATGGGAGAAATGTGCATTCTTCCAAAAAGAAATAGAGTGGCTAAGTTTCAAGATATCAAAATCGGGCGTGAAACCATTGGTGGGAAAGTCAGATTCGATTAAAAACCTACCAAACCCCAAAAATATATCTGAACTTAGGTCTTTCTTTGGGTCGATCAATCAGTATATGAAATTCGTCCCGAATTTTTCTGCTCTAAGTTCCCCCCTACGACCACTTCTCGTGAAGAAATCAGTCTACCAATGGAATGACGATCATACTAAAGCTTTTGATGAACTAAAACAACAGATAGTGAAGATAACAGAGAACAACCATTTCGACATAAAAAGGATGTCAAGACTAAAGACAGACGCTTCTCATAACGGCTTAGGAGCTACATTAGAACAATGGGATGGAGAAAATTGGGTAACAATAGCATTCGCCTCCCGATTTTTAAACAACCACGAAAGTAAATACTCGACAAACGAACTTGAATTGTTGGGAGTAGTCTGGGCTACAGAACATTTTAAAAATTACTTGTATGGCGCTGAATTTGAAATTGTGACGGACCATAAGGCATTATTATCAGCATTAAATGCAAACCAGAGCTACAAAACTATGCATAGCAGATTAACCCGTTGGGTAAATCGACTGTTACCATTTAATTTCAAGATCAAGCACATTCCGGGAAAAGAAATGGGATTTACAGATTTATTGACGAGACTACTTTCAGGAAAAGCACTCCCTACATCACACTACGATAGCGAATTTGTAGTGGCTACAGTACAAAAGATTGTAGAAAACCTCTCTGTAAAAAACGATTGTAAAAAGAATAATTGTAAAAAGAACGAAGTGTATAATCCATTGGATGTAAATACGATTAGTAACTTAGATTGTAATAATCCAATGGGTGGAAAGAAAGATTTATCGCAAAGCATCCAACGGTCGTTCTTCTCGAATATTCTGAATTACGTAAACGACACTATCAGAATTTGTAATTCCAATCACTCGCGTTCAGAGTCTTGCACAAGCGGTTGTGTTCCATTAAATTTATCAAAATTTGATTTCATTTATTTTTACTTATCAGACAAAAAATTTTATCCTTTCTTGCCCAATCAGTATTATTAATCAATCAGTCATTAAATTCAGATTAAAAAAAACAGTTACAAGAATTTATTACATCGGTCAACTTGTTAAAAATTTCCTTCAGGGCAGAAAAGAAAGGAATCTTCTTGAATTTTAATAACGACACAATGTCAGACCTTCACAAGAAATTATTGGCCAAGTACAAGGGAGATCTCAGATTGCCTGACAAACCCGTTATCACTCTCAAATCATTGCTCGAATAAGCTGATTAAACTCATGACGGACGAAGATAAAATCCTCAAGGAGATAAAGAAGGCGGTACAGGAAGGCAAACCATTGGACAAATTCGGAGCCTACTTAAAGAACTTCCAGAGGGATATCCACGTGAAAGAAGGACTGTTATTCAACGATAACAAACTGATAGTGCCGGCTGCATTACGATCACCATTCCTGTCACTCCTTCACGAGACTCATCCAGGGCAGTTCGGGATGAAAGCCCTGGCAGAAAACATCTGGTGGCCACACCTATACAGAAAGATATACCATCATGGAAAGAATTGCACTAAGTGTATAATGGCCGGTAAGAACCTAAAAGTGTTACTAGGGACGAACAAGACTGAGAAACTACCGATTCTGTCCGAACCAAATGAAGAAGTAGATTTAGACTTTGCTGGCCCATTTGACAAGAGTTGGGGTAACGCAAAATACCTTTTGTTATGCACTGATCGCTTTTCAAAGTTTCCGTCTGCGAAGGTAGTAAACAACACCTCGACTTCTTCAATTTTAACTTTCATGACAGATTACTGCCATCTTCACGGATTTCCAAAGTCCATTAGAGCTGACCATGGGTCATGTTTTACTTCGTTTGATTTTAGAAACTTCTGTGAGAAGAACAACATTAATTTAATTCTATGTACGGTTGGTGATCATAGATCCAATGGAGTAGTAGAAAGACTCATTTACACTGTCAAAGCTAAGCTTCTGGCAATGTCGTTCAACGATCCAAAACCATCTTTAAATACGGCTATTGATAAAATTATTTGGAACATACGCTCGACGAAACAATCATCCATTGGATGCTCTCCTTTCTCAAAACATTTTAATAGATCTCCCAGCACGTTCTGGAAATGTTTGGTCTCTCACGCAATTAGTTTAGATAAGGGGAAATCAATCTTAATGAAGGACAGAGCATAAGACTGGGGGGCTGATGACGCGTTCGAAGATGGCTATCTGGAAGACAGAGCAATTGATGAAAGAGGGTATGAGAGCGACCCTGCTGACAAAGTAGATAGAAATCTCCAGCGAGCCCCACTGTCAAATCCTTTCAGCCAAGGAGGTAACTGGTTTAGGAAAACAGTTAACAGGAGGGAAGGAGAACCTTATTTTAAACCACTGGGGAGTAATCCTTTGTCA